AAAATGTCCTACTTATCAGGGAAAACGTTTTTTCCTTCTTCCGTTTCATTTCTGATTTTGATGTTTGGACAGTTGCACATGAGAATGTAACCAAACTTTTACAGCCAAATATAAATGCAAATGGAGGTGAACCCGAAAAAGACACCAGTTTCTATATGTGCCAGCCTCATAAAAACCCGCTCAAAATTCAGCTTTCCTTTATTCTCTCACAGAAGTAAAAGAAATAGGCTAGCTAGTATTAATCCCTTTGAATTTATTGCTTCGTCTCAACCAACTCTCCTACCTCCATTTTTCCTTCTCGTTCAGCTACCCTTTCCCTTTTTTATTCCCAGAATTTTTAGATATTAATTAAAACCAGGCCTGTGATTGGTGGCAGTGAGCTTCCTTTGCTGATCATTACGTACGATTCTGAAATCCGTTTCTGCACATTCCGATTTCACAATGCCGGATGTTTACACCGTGAAGGTGGCGGAGGCAACGCCGGCCTCCGCTGACAACCCATCGGCGGGTCCTGTTTATAGGTGCATTTATGCTAAAGACGGTTTAATGGAGCTTCCGGCCGACTTCGAATCTCCATGGCAGTTCTTCAGGTGATTCTGTTTTCCTTTCAGTTTCTTCTTCACTCAACTGACATTTTGATAGCGTTAGTTCACTGAAAATGAAGAATTGAATTATTCAGTTTTAAAAAAGCAAGTAATCAACTCTGAGTCTTTTTGTCAGGCGACAAGTATGTTATTTTTGGTTTTTGAACTGATTCATGCATTAACTGATTTTTGGGAATTAAATATGACATTAACGTAACGACGGGGAACAATTGTTTAGTTTATTCTTTAAACGAAATCATGCATTGACCAAGATTTTGAATTTAAATTTAAATACATCCTAAGACTTGTTAGCCATTTCTAAAGCAATTTGAAGAACCAGCTAATTTTTAAACTGCAGCATCTCTAAAAGCAGAATTTTTATTTTACTTTGAGGGCGGCAATGAGAATCCTGCTGGTAATCCCAGTCTTGCCAATCCTGGGAATTATGGTCAAAATAGTAGTGATTAACTTTTGGAAGTTTACATTTTAAAACAGAAGGGATGGAAATCATAATAAACTCTCAAGTGAACCCTTCCATCGTAAATTAACATTTGAGATAAAAGTATTTTGATTAAGTATTAAAAATTCCATGCCAAATCATTTCATCAAGAGTTCATCCTATTGGATGCATTTGTGGGCCACTTGTAATTTTAACTGAATTTTAAAGATCCTTTCGTGAGTTTGTTGCTACTTGGTGAAAGAGAAGTGCTTGGGTGAATTGCATCAAAAAGTCCGAAGACCATTGAAATTTGAATACTCTTATCAGTTCATGGATGTCTCCTTTCTGACCAGTTTTGATTCTTCCCCAGGGACTCTGCCAAGAGGAACCCGAACAACCCACTTCTGGGCAGACGTCAGAAAACAATTCGAAGGTGTAAATTTATGAGTCTTTCTTTTTCTTTTCTAGAGGATCCCTTTCTTTATACGTGCAATTCCAAGCACCATAACCTATGGTTTATAGCCTGATCAGTCCATAGCATTATTAATCTCTCTCTCTCTTTTTTTTATTTCTATTTCTAAGAGAGAAGTAAATATACACCATATGTCAATTTACTGATTTTGCAGGCGGGTCCCTATGAATGGGTCACATATCAGGAGGCTTATGATTCTGCCATCAGAATGGGTTCCGCCATGAGGAGCCGCGGTGTCAATCCTGTAAGTCTACAGGCCAATATCACCATAATTTGTATTCAGAATCTTTAAATGTAAAACTGATATAAAAAAAATTGATTCACATCACCAGGGAGATCGTTGTGGCATTTATGGATCCAACTGCCCCGAATGGATAATCGCCATGGAGGTATATCAGCTTCTTTTTTCTTTTTTTTTAAATACCATTCTTCCCATAAATATGAGGAAAGACATTGCATAGTGCCCTTATTAGCCATCGTTATAAGACTTAGTGCAACTTTGTTGTTTTGCAGGCTTGTAATAGCTGTGCAGTAACTTACGTCCCATTATATGACACCCTTGGTATGTTTTTTGTCATTTGTTCTTTCCAATAAGACCAACGGGTTTTATTTTATAATTTGAGGCATGTTACTTTGGAAGGGCTTTTAAATTAAAGCAGTGTGATCAGTTGAGTTTCTCTTACATTTTACTAGAAAATGACCTGGTTTTAAACCTAACAGGTCCTAATGCAGTGGAGTATATCATAAACCATGCTGAGGTTTCAATAGCATTTGTACAGGAAAACAAAATTCCTTCTGTAAGTTCTAGATCTTCATCGACTACCTTCTTTATCTTTGCTACTTATTATTATTTTCTTTTTGGTACACATCTTTGTCGTTTATTTTGTTATGAATATTTTATTTGGTGAATATAACTGAATCAACATGGGTTTAACTAGAGCAAGAATTTGAATGCTTTCATTTTCATATTGATGATTTGGCTTGGAGCTTCAGACCGCAAGTCGTATACCTTCAAGATTGAACTTCTCACCACACCTATCGAGTGTAATCTTGTCTCCTACGAAACTATAAAATAACAGTGCCATTAGCAGCCTTTAATTTATTGATGAGATCTCTGCAAGTCACTTTCCAAATGGATAGTGAGGTATCAATTTTGAAGCTGACAAATTGTCACAACCATTTCTGATCCTCTTTCAATGGAATCATTGACCATTAATTCTTTCAAGCTAATTCGTTATTCTTCTGATACAGCATGGAATCTTTTTTTTCTTCTTCTTTTTTTATTTATTTTCTTTCTTTTTTGTGGTTACTAAAGCGATGAGTATTTTTACAGATTTTGTCATGTCTTGAACAGTGTTCTTCAAATCTAAAATGTAGGTTAGCCGTAACCATTCCTATCTTTTATCTAAAATAAATACTTTAGGTTTTTAATGGTAACCAAGGTCTGTAAATTCATGGTGTAGCCATTGTGAGTTTTGGAAATGTTTCAACTGAACAAAAGAAGGAAGCTGAGAAACATGGTGCAGCCTGCTTCTCCTGGAAAGAGTTCCTCCAGTTGGTATGATGTTAACCTATATGGCATTTTCCTGTTTATGTTAAATCTATTTCTCTCATTAGTTGTATTTCAATCTTGCATTTTACTCAGGGAAGTTTGGAAGGTGATCTACCTTCAAAAAGGAAGACAGATATCTGCACAATAATGTACACAAGTGGAACGACTGGTGAACCAAAGGTGTCATTATCAAGAACGAGGCTTTTATGTCTGAAGTGCTGTCTATTGACCAAATACTTTCATTAACGGACAGAGTGGTAAGATGAGCATTTTCCTCTGATGTTCATGAGTTTCATGTCATACCTGTCCTACTTTTTCTGTTTATATGTTTTAGTATAGGTAAGCTTCTGGGAGTTACAATAGATGATTATGATCTTCGAGTTCATTTCTCTTCTGAATAAATATTTATAGAGGCTGATGAGTAAAGAAGATAAGTTTGAGCTTCAATTTGTCATCTTTATGTAATGCTGACTTGGCGAAAAATATGTGCAATTGTAGGCAGCAGTCGACGATGTATACTTCTCTTTTCTTCCTCTAGCACATGTATACGACCAGATAATAGAGAGCTACTGCATCTACAAGGGCTCCTCAATAGGGTTTTGGCAAGGCGTAAGATCTTAATTTAATTTTTGCAATTAATTACTTGATCATTCTTTCATTTTTCCATCTCAATGAGGCTTTATGCTCTGTTTTATGCTTAATATGGAAGTTTTCATCTTCATGCTTACAGGATGTTAGGTTCTTAATGGAAGACATTCAGACACTTAAGCCAACTATATTTTGTGGTGTTCCTAGAGTTTATGACCGTATTTACGCGGGTAAGAAATGGATACTCTGTTCTTTTCCATAGTTGGGTAAACCACCTTGTCTAAAATATTTATCTAAGCATTGTCTTTGAGCTCCTCACGTAAACAAGCATTGGCTTTATCCTTTGCGCTTGAAGGTATTGTAAGCCAAATTTCTTCTGGGGGGACACTGAAGAATTTGTTGTTTCAGCATGCATATAACTAGTATGTCCTGCCCTTTCACTTTGATTGTTTTCTTTCTCTATTCTATCCTCGTGTGAACTAATCTGGGATCAACTGACAGCAAGTTGAAATATCTGGAGAAGGGACTTCCACAAGACCAAGCAGCACCTCGGCTGATAAGCTTGTGTTTGATAAGGTCTTCCATCTTTATCCTTGCAAATTCTATATATCTAGTTTAAATTCTAAACATCAGTTTTATTGATAGATAAAACAAGCATTGGGTGGACGAGTTCGCATCTTGTTATCTGGAGCTGCCCCCTTGCCTACGCATGTGGAGGAGTTTCTGAGGGTCACTATTGGATCTACCTTATCACAAGGCTATGGTATTGTACACAAATCTTCTGCTTAACATCATTTCTTGTGAGAAATGGTTCCATTCATTGGCTTTTTTGGGTTTTCTGAGTCTATTGTAGTAGAAACATGTTTAATTCATCTACAATGTGCATGTTATGCGTCTGTATAATTATGTTGCTCTAATTTATATCATTTTGGCATCACAGGTCTCACTGAAAGTTGTGGTGGGTGTTTCACCGCAATTGGTGACGTGTTTTCTATGATGGGAACAGTTGGGGTGCCCATGACAACCATTGAAGCCAGGCTTGAATCTGTTCCAGAGATGGGGTATGATGCAGTTTCCAGTCAGCCCCGTGGAGAAATTTGCCTTAGAGGCAGCACCTTGTTTTCTGGTTACCACAAGCGTGAAGATCTTACTAAAGAAGTGATGATTGATGGGTGGTTTCATACAGGTGAGACTCCCTGGAAATTGTGACTTAAAATCAAATTTTCTCCATTCTTGTTTTTCTTTACAAATTTCTTTGTCTTTTAGTGCAATCAAATGGTATTGATTTTAAATTCCTTGCAGGGTGACATTGGAGAATGGCAGGCAGATGGAGCCCTGAAAATTATTGATAGAAAAAAGAATATTTTAAGTTGTCTCAGGGGGAATATATTGCTGTTGAGAGCATCGAAAACAAGTATTCACAGTGCCCTCTAATAACATCGGTATGTTTCCTCATTATCACAAAGGCAGCCTGTGAATTTGCAGGAACACCCAGTTAGATTCCATTCCTGCAGCATACCCCAGTCACTGAATTTACATAATTAATGAATTCAAAATGCTTTGATCATTTCATACAGATTTGGGTATATGGAAACAGTTTCGAGTCATTCCTGGTGGCTGTGGTGGTCCCAGAAAAAAAGGCACTTGAGGATTGGGCAGAGAAGCATAATGAGACTGGTGATTTTAAATCTTTATGTGAAAATCAAAAGGCAAGAAAGTTCATTTTGGACGAGCTCAATTCAACTGGTCAGAAACACCAAGTATGCATACCCAACTCCCAATTATGCGCTACATGTGTGTGTGTGGGTGTGCATTATTAAAAAATCGTGCTTTTGATAAACATGAATCACCGTAATTTTGCCTTCATGTCGCTTTATAATGTTTTTTAGTTTTAATTTCTAGCTTAACTTCTCATACAAATAGTATGTGGTCTATTACTAGTTACTAAACTACAATAACAATTTAGCTCACAAATTATTTGGCTCATTTAGCAAGTAATTGAAACTTAGTGAGGACTGCAGTTCATTTTTGAAAAGAACAAACTTGTGCATACGCAAGTCCTTTTGTCAAGTAAATTGAGAATGTCATTGGACCAATAAGCAGTTAATTTTAAGATGAATCAGAAACTTG